TTTTTTTGGAAAATTTAATAGTAATACGTTATATTTTTCACTTTACTATCATACCATCTAGTCAGCACTTCAGTGTTTTTTTGAATCATTTCTACGCTGCATTGCCTAAGTGTATTTCGTCCACAAGATATACATAACGGCTGCCGCGCGACTGGGTTAAATAAAAAATTGACATATGCGCGACACGAATGGCCTGCTGACACACATGATGAGTGCCAAAAATGATCCCATTGAACATAATAATCGATACACTATATTTACGTACCCTATAGTTCATACATAGCAGATTTCATTTTGTCAATATAATCCAATTTCAATGCAAACACTAGTGAGATTTCGTACAACAGGCGTTTGTAGGATACGAAGTTTGCTAAGTTATTGTACATTACATACGTGACCTGATAACGAGCAAACGGAGGGAAATAAGCGCGGATCGATCCGCGGGCCTTGAATACGAAATCTACAGAATTATTTTGTGTTCTTTCGAGAGAGGTGACGCGCGCGATCGAAAATATCCTAAGGATAAGCGTGAAACGTTTCGTGAAATACGCTTGTAGGTCATTGGATCATTAAGAAGTTCTGTTATCGCAATAAACGTTCCGCTAATGAATAAGGTGAAACGGTGTACGGTGAATAGTAAAAAGCGACTGAGATCGGAGACACGCAGGTAAATATTACTGTTTCAAACACTCGATACATCAAAAGAGTCTCTCAAAAGCAAGAACATTACAATATTCCACTTGTCTACGTTTGCTGTGACAAGGATTTCACACACATGATGTTCAATGGTATTAGAACGTTACAGTACGTAACTATTAGAACGACAAAATTTCACTGAACAATGATATCTGTTATTTCCCTGAAAATTGTTTCAATTTCGTTGCAGTACAACAGAAAAATTCAGATAAATGGAATAACTGTTAACCGACCAGTTCTTCGAAGAACAAACAAGTACGTAATTTAGGGCATGGCTTGCACGTGACAAGCTTGAAACATACAACACCCGAGGTACAGATACAATGTAATTGAAATAATGATAGAAAGGTCGACGACCACAGAATAAAAAAAAAAGAAAGAAATAGGAACAAGCCCTGCATTGATGTTCTATATATAGAAGCTATCTTTAACACGAACTGCACCACATGTACCACCGATGGTACACGCTGGCATATTTATTTAATGCGGCAAGATTCTTTTTTCTAACCGAAAAGTTAAAACTGATTGCAGCGCCACATGTACCACGGATGGTACACTGTGCGATAACTATACAAGCTGGTTTGATGATGTATTAAAATATTGTGTGATAACATATCAATCTTTAGTCAAAATATCAAATGGCCTGAATGAAAAGTTTAACGTGTAAAAACAGCTCGGCACGGAACGTGTTAAATCAACGAAGCAAACGCTTCGCGCAAGATGAGAATAACAATCCTTTTAGGTTAGTTTTATTATCCCTGTCAGTTTCAACATCCTCGTGAATAATGAATGCTACATGAAACGCAAGAGCTAGAAAACGAGCGATATGATCTTCTTACACGCATGCTCGGTGCTATATGTGCAATTCTCAAGAGATATGTGTAACCTTGATCGCGTTTCTCCTTCATATCCTTCAAATGACACGCGATTTCTTCGCGGAACGCAATGACGGAAGTGTTGGAAATACCATTCAGACGCGATGATGATATCTGATAATTGCACCGGTTGCAAAATCATGAAAAAGACAATTTTCAGTCAAGATCCATTAATGCAGTACAGAGTATCTGGAAATTTATCGTCCGTTCATTTAAAGTACACTATCTGCCGAGTGCTGAGTACACAACGATTATCTCCAACTAAAGGAAACGTCGTAGCGATAACGTGTAGGAGTCGACTGAAATGAATGTCATTGACTAGATTCGAAAGGGACGCGAGCAACGTAAAAATAAACAAGAGCGAATTGTGTACGCGCGTGCAATTCCGTCGGCTAAACAGAGTTACATAGAAAGCCGAAACTTACTTACCTTAGGAGTAATTTTAGAAAGCAACCGACACCTCTACAAGTAGCGACTTCGGCGGTATAAGTGACCGTCATCTCTATACCTGCTGTGCCGAGTGACACGGCATAGCCAACTGCAGTTTTTCTTAGAGGACGATCTGGCCGATACTCTTGCCAGAATAGTGCCACGCTAGAATCATCTCTTCCGGCATGCGTGCCGCATCCTTTTCTTTACAACCGCCAAAACGATCACGTATGAATAATAATTAAACCGCGCACGACCTTATCCCTCTCTCAATCGATGATAGACAAACAGACGAGACGAAGTCTGCGAAGGTCATTCTCTATGTACTTTACACATCTCTCCTTCTCTTTTTCTCTTCTTATCGGTCGATTATATAATTCGTTGCAATCGTAACGAAAACTCGAGCGTTACTCAATGAAAAATTACTCGCTTTTCGTTTGGTTTATCTTTTACATGCTACTCTGTCTCACGGTGTAGATACTCTGTCGGAAACACATGTCAACAATCAACAATCAATGCGATATAAAATACTTTAACCCATTCGCGCAAAATAACCAGTCAGGCTCGTGGTGTATTTTTGTGGCAATAACGTGTACAAGTTAATAGTCGGGATAACGTATCGCGATTCATTTCGAATAATAATTATTTTATATAATTGCGAAATAATTTTGTTTGTAATTGAGCAAACGTGAAAATGATTTTGAAAAGTGTCAGACTTTTTTTCAAAGACAGAAAAATCGTTTTAGACGTATATCTTCCGAATATTAATACATATATATATATACAATCTTTCGTTTGTTTACTAAAGAATTGTAATACGTTATATTTTTCATTTTTCTCTTTACTACCATACCACGATATCATCTAGTCAACTTTTCAGTATTTTTTGAATCATTTCTACACTGCACTGCCTAACTGCATTTTATCCACAAAATATACATAATGACTGCCGCGCGAATGAGTTAACGCAACATCTTCGAGTCACATGACGCACCTTCAATTTACCGGGCTTTTGCCTCTCTTTCTTTCCGACTTATTCCTTCTGATACACTCTGTTACAAAAAAAAAAAAATAGTAACAACAATTACGAGAATCTCCCGTTTCGATCTGGTAGTCTGTAAAAATCGATGATAAATACAACCTTGCAAATTACACGGCACGCCTTCGGCTCATCGTATTTCTGTCCTTCTTTTTTCTTCGATGCATAAATATCTCGTTGTTGTATATTTCTAAGGCTACTATCGTTCTTAAACTTTTTAACACAATGGCGGCTGCACCGACACTTCACTGTCTCCCTTCATCGAGCCGTTAATAATTCTAACGTCGTTTCCGGTATGCGTTTCCGCACGTGCTCGAGAATACCGATATTGCATTTAAGAAGCCTCTCTCGGTCGACGATAATGCCGAAGAGCGTCGCGATTCGTCTTCGTTTTAGCGAATTCCGCAGGTGGATGTCTAGAATGTCAAACATGACGATGAGAGCGACAGGCAACAGTGGTGGTCGTTATTAACAGTGATTCACTGTCTCACTCGTAAAGAGCAAAGTCATTTTATAGCGACATGTCTTCGACATCAGCCTTATCTCGTTTTCTCTACGGAAATCACGATGCAAAAAGTCAATGATATACAATGAGTGAACCGCGTGCCATGCGGAATGTTTGACAACAGTTGGAGAAAAGAGTCACGCGTTCCTCGTACATAACTTCATAAAACAAGATTTCTGATTTTTCTCGAACGAGCATCCCTTGTCAAATTGCATCCGTTTCGATCAGCGTGCTACATATTTTCTAAACGCGGCCCCCCGCTAGCAAGCAATGCCAAATGACCAAGCCCTCGTTCACTTCCGTTTTCAGAACAATGATTCATTTACGTTTCTATATCGCACTGAATTTCGCAATTTTACGTCCATCCATTGCCAGCAATGCATCGTGGTGATCACGGTGGTAAGTTTAATTCGTAACCTTGTTACGATGGATCGTTATCACGCTACAGGCAGTCCGTTATCGTGGCGTTGTCCTGCTTTACTTTACTTTCTTGCTATCGAATTTCTACGAATAGTTACATATAAAACGTCACATCGTTCATTCTTGACGTTTCGACTTGGATTTCTACAAGATAAAAGTAAGCTTTATTACCAAAATTAATTGTATTGATACCAGGGATTTTGATATCACTGACATAAAAAGTTCATTCCGTCTGCACTCGACGTTGTGATAATGTAGATGGCCTTCTACGAAGTATCCCTCTGTTGATAAATATTATCTTTATCCTTGTGTATGAAATACATATGTATGAGAAGCACACTGACTGTAAAAATTTAAGTGGTACACGAAAATATCAGGCCATTCGTATGCATTCGTACGTGTTAATCACGTGATACTGATTACTAATTTTGACACAACACGTTTGGAACGTTTCGATCCTGTCCTTAGAATCGCAGCGAGCACGTGTGTGCATGGTCATTCTTCAAGGGGGAAACAAAATGACGCGGAGGAGAAAGCATGGAACATTCATGTACAACAATTTAGTGTTTCTCACGTAAATAATACGTGTTTATTTCGACTACACTCAATGCATTATCAAGCGAAACTAGGGCCGTCAACAATGCGAGTTATATCGCAGAGACGAGTAGCTCTGTCTCGAAAAGTTATATAAGAACAGATTCGTTAATTTAAAAAAACTTCAATTTAAAATTCGACACACATCTACGAGAAACGCGTGCTCTTTGTTGGCGCACAGTGATCCTTTTCCTTGTCACGTGACTTCGAAATTGCTCTCTTAACACGAGTCTATAAAAATACGAGATGTCTTTTGTAACACTAGAACGAAAAAAATTTCATCGAAAAATTGAATTCAGCGTAGAACAGACGTAGTAACAGTGCGAAAAAACTCGGGTACTGCATCTTCGAGCAAATCGTGATTTCGTGACAAAGGGCACGATCCTTGAACATGCCTTATGCTCCACTATTGCCTTTCCATTCTACACACGCTTCGTACAATGAAATCCGTCTTTACGGAATTTGAGGCACAGCTGATCGCGAGTTCCCCCGAGCACTGGGCACAATCAAGCGGCAAACATATCGTGCACACAAACCCTGTCTTTTACGGAAAGAATACTGAATATGTGACTGAGATAGCCGCCGCAACACGCCAAAAGTTCCCCCGATGCCCCCGCCATTCGCTTCGAGTTTCCATCCCTACTATGCCTCGTGTTTCCGCATCAACCAGTGGTGCTCACCAACCGCTGTCAAATGTACTGAAATCACGTTTAAACGGGAGTAAAACAGGACCGCAAGGCAAGTAAGGGGATAATGTGATTATCATGGAAGAAAGTAATTAATGAAAATATTTACAATCGGGATAATCACGTTTGGAGATACTTTGGAAATGAAACTAAAACGAAGGTACGAGGGTATTCTCATATTGCACATTAAAGGATTTTATAGGAGGCAGCAGAAATCTGATATCAATGAAACGACAAAGTTTACAGAACACTCGACTTTATTTGTTATCGCTATCTACGCGCAGATTTTTCTCAATCGTTTATCAAAATACTATGTCAATACCTGCAAGTAAAGTGTGTTGTGACATCCAACACGGATATACATGTTTAATAGACGACGCTGGCAATACGTACGTTTTCAAAATTATAATAATACAATATTCCGAGTGTAAAATTCACATGCACCACACTCATATGATCAGCGCTGACTTACTTTGTAACTTATATAATACGAATTCCATAGAGATATATTATATTCATTTAATTTGCTTTTCTCTTTTTACAATTGTACACTCTTTTATATCCATATCTAGGAAAACGGTTGCAACTTGAATAAAGTTATTAAGTTGATTCAACATTCAACTCGTGTCTACGTGAACCTTTTTAATCAATTGGCGTTAATATTACTACTGGATTAAAAGATTTTGGTCCCTAAAAGTCACAGCCATCAAATGCAATAAACAGTAGTAGTCTGGATTTAAGGCCACTCGATGAATAACGAAAACGATCGTAAACGATGATTACGACGATCGATGTAGTTTCGATAAATTGTAACATTCTTTTCATGAAAAAATACACATTAAAATTAATGGTACATTTTCTGACAATACTTTTCTTAGGAACAGTACAGATTAAAATGCGGCGAAGGACGTACTTTTGTCCTTTTTGACAGTTTTGACGAAAGAGCACTGTTAATAACTTGATTATTCTGTTACAGGCTGACAGTCTTATTTTTCGAGATATGTCATGCAACGATAGTTGTCAACGTATCGTGTTTAGTCTCAGTTCTGAAATATAAAGAAGAAAAAATTAGAAAAATATAACATTTAATAATCTAAAATCCGTATTCTGTAAGAAGACAAAATACATGCATACCTTATAGTGGCATGCTGCGTTGAACGTGACCAACCAGCAATAAAACTATTTTCACTTCTCTCAGCGATTCGTTGTCTATGGCTACCACTTTTTGATGGTGCGGTAAACGTGGCACTTTGTATGAGATCTGGAGTTATTGTCGATTTTACGGTTTTATAGAATAATCTGGATAAACAATAATAAAAATTGCGTTTAATTTAATTTTTGCAACATTTACTGAGCGTTACAATGTAAGATGTAAAAGTCATACTTAGGCATCAATGCTAGAACACAGGTAAGTAATATTGTAAGCCAGTAAGTGTATCTCATGACAGCCATTTCCATTACCCAATACGAACATAGGAGACCCATACAATTAACGCAAACTATGTTATAAATTAAACAAAAACCGAAAAATACTCCCAATGATCCCAATACGGCAAAAAGATGAATTACCGTCTGAAAACAAAACCACGTCTTACAACATGCAATATTCAATGGAATATATCTTTGAATTACAGTCACAAAAAATTAATTTACCCAAGATCTAATTTCTATGGCAATATTGGTCAACATGATAACAACGGAACAGGTCATTACAGTAGTTCCAAACTCCCAAATGTCAATAGTTGAATCATAGTACACCTAAACAAAATAGTTACGCTTTAATAATGTCGCTCAATTTGTGTTTTAAGTGTGTTTTGAGACTATACTAACACCCTCATTTACAAAGAAAATAACGATACTTTGATACAAAGCATCAGCAATGGTTATCCAAAATGTATACGATTGATATACAAGCCCGAGGCGTCCTCTTTTATACAGATTAGGCATAGTTAATAAAACGCCAGATGAAGCTACTCGATCATATATGCCCAACACAAGTGGTGGCATGGACGTAAACATTAAATTATAAAGCATTAAATAAATTTGGTCCATCATAACGGTTCCAGTAAATCCGCAGTACAACTGTCAAAACAATAAATCATTTTTGTTATAAAAACTAGTTGTAAAAATTAGTGTATTAAAAATAAAGTAAAATATATACTATACCTGATACCAAAACAGAACGAAAACCAAGGTAGCGTTCTCGTAAAAGAAATACAAAATCATTCTAGACAAGCGATCGTAACACCAATGACCATGCAACAAAAGAAGTCTGCTAAGCATTGAGAATCTTGAAATGGCAAAGTCTGCGGCCATGACAGCTTGTGTACCTTCTTGCCCGGAGATACCAACTCCTACATCTGCCGTTTGAATCATACTAACGTCATTAGCACCATCACCAATTGCTAAAGTTCTCATTCCCAATTGCTCCTTCACTATACGTACAATATATGCCTAAAACATACCGAGAAAGTCCATCAGATAACAAACTATGGAAACTGGAGTAAACGTGAAAGTCAATTTACTATACCTTCTGAAGAGGTGTGGCTCTACAAGCCAATACGCTAGAACACGTTTTCGTTAATTCAAGGAACAGTCGAGTTAATCCCGACCGTGGGTCAAGGATAACAGTCAAGGTTTTGCCATCGACAACAAGTGCACGTTGTCTCGGCCATGGGCTATCTACCCTATGCGCATCATTCTCTGCCACGTCGCGATTAAACATTGCAATTTCTCTAACGTTATCCATTCCCAAAGCTGTACTATCTTTACGTACAGACTCTAAGTATCCATGAATTAAAGTTTCAGCAACAGACTTTGATCTCGCTTGCAACCACAATAATTGCATCGCAGGCGAAAAAAGACGCGCCGAGTATGCAATATTAACTGCCGTTTCTGGCTTGTCTCCTTTCAATTTAACACATTTATTAACCATAGATTTTAACTTGAACTGTGAATTTACTGTGCAGTGAAAAGATACCTGTTAAGACCCACACTACGATCCCTGCTGTCATTAGAGCATCCATAGTCTCGGGTACTCCAGCTTGAAGTTTATCCTCAATTCCAGTGACTCCCAATAAAGTTAAATGGCATTCGAGATTCGCATATGAATCTTTAATCCGGACTTCGCGATTTTCCATTGCGAGCTCGGCCTCGGAATGCATTTGCCGCCAGTTCTCGTATTCCTGCGTTGTCAGAGATTTTTTAGCCATCACCAAAGTTCGAAGACCTTGACGCGCGTACGACTGAAGATACTGTCGAACTTTGATCGTCATTACAGAATTTTCATCCTGAGAGGTTAGAGACGATAGGATCGTTGTATCGGCGCCCTTGCTGTACAACACTAGCTCGTTAGTGATGGGATGCCGAACCAAAATAGACATGCATTTTCTGTTGGAGTCAAACGGTAAGACCTGTAATTTGGAGCGTGCTACATTTTTAAAACTATCCTAGTTCGTTTTCGTTAAAAAACAAGAAAAGAGAAAAACGAGGGGCAAGAAGATTTAGGGGCAAACTTACGTGAAGAATTTCAAAAGTAAGAACAGATTTGTCCGGCAAGGAAACGATCGCACTACGCGCCGTTCGTTTAACGAGTTTCACGTTATAAGCGCGTGCAGCGTTCACTAAAGCAAGCTCGTCCGGACTTTCCGCTTCGTAAATCGCAGCCGTAGGTAACAATTCGTCTCTGCTCTTGCCGCTCTCGTCAGTAACGGGACTTAGCGGGCTGCGTCTCTTGTGCTCTCCGTTCGGGGACAGTTTCCTTCCTAACAATCCCATTCCTAAACTTGGTATTGACGTCACATTTAAAAATTTCGGCCTGCAATTAATTAAAAATGGAATTAAAAAAAAAAAAAAGAAAACAAAATTATACTGAGAAAAAGAAAATGGATGAGAAGTATACGTAATGACCTCGGTAATTTATTCGACAGCTTATTGTTAGTGGAATTATGGAGCACAGATTCTATTTCAACCATCGAAGAAATCGATGACACGTTTTCATCGAGACTATTGGTCGGGTGAGACAGCGCAGATAGAGGAATGATTGGCGAAGGAGTTAAGCTTCTAGAATCTATCATTCTCGTGTATCTGTAACAACGAATAGTAAATAATTAGTAACTCGTCAATCCTTATATATCGGAGTGTTATTTTTGTAATACAGGGTGGAAAGTTTCCTCCCATCTATCTTTTTTTTCCTTTTTAACAAAACATTAAAATATAAGGAAAAACTAATTTTATTAATTTTAAATTAAATCTTTATTTCAGTAGGAAGTGATTTTTGGCCCACTCTATACTTTCCGAACTAGGGTGATTTTTTTCTCTATCTGTTTGATGTTGACAAATCCAACATTCGTGGAGAAAGCAAAAACAAACCTTCCAGGTTCTTCGCCGTTCCTCTGAGGCTTTTCAATCACTCCGCTGGAGTTCATGGTGTCATGATGAGGTTGCGAGTTGACCACGACGGTGTTACATATCGCTAATACGATTAAAAATTCTTGCAGATGATGCCTAAACGTGCCTATAAGAAGGTCTTCTTTCAGTCGTGACGACGGTATCAAATTTTCACCGTCCCCGCCATGCGAATAATCCTGCCCCCCCACGGCGCACCGTCTGAATAGCATTTTATTTTCCGTCAGCGTGCCGGTTTTATCAGAGAATATATACTGCACCTATTGAGAGTAAAAAAAAAAAAAAAAAAAAAAAATAGAGAGAAAGAAGAGGAGCTGCTTCCTTATCGAGACCACGCACAAGCTCGATCAATTTACTCACCTGACCCAATTCCTCCGTGATATTGAGTGCGCGGCATTCAGCCGAGCGTCCCGTCTCCGCGTCATAAAGGGCGATATCGTGCCCGATGTGATAAACCTGGCCCACTTTCGCCATTTCGATGGTGACGTAAAGGCTCAACGGTATCATCACTTGGAGGATGATCACGAACGTCCAGAACGTTAGCATGCTCTCGTAGTTCGGATCCTGAAGGATCGGGATGAACGGGACGAACGTCTGGTCGGAAAACTGGGAGATCCAAAGTCGACAACTGATCGCGCCCGTCGCGCACAACACCACCAAAATCACCACGCACCATATCACGTCGCTGTTCATTTGCTTCTCCAATCGTGAACGCTGAAAAAATTCTTCCTTATTATTCTTCTTATTATTATTTATTATTTATTATTATTAATTTATTATTTATTATTTATTATTATTAATTTATTATTTATTTATTTATTATTTATTATTTATTATTTATTATTTATTATTTATTATTTATCATTTATTATTTATTATTTATTACTATTTATTTATTTATTATTTATTATTTAT